TGATGATTAGGACTGCTTTCCATTCGAATATTCAAATGCTGTATAATAGATAAAGGTTCCTCTCGAACATATGTCCTAGTCGTTCCCGACTCTAGGGGGTGTGCTCATCTCTGTTTCAAAGAGCCAGTGCCGTCCGAAGACATCACTGTGATCATGTAGACGGCATTACTAAATGCCGAAGACGCATGGAACTCTGTTACATTCCCACCAAAGGTGGACAAGTAATGGGAGCTCACTTTGTTACATGGTGCTAGGGATTCGAACTGCTGACTTTCCTGATCAACAAGTTCAGCATCTTAGCCACTAAGCCATCAATGAGCCATCACGTCCCATATACATTACAGTGAGTAGTCAGGGTATGCAGCAACTCCATCCAGGAAACTGAGGCACACCAAGGCAGCAAGCGGGGGATCGTGGCAAATAGGTTGTCCAATATTAAGCTCTCTCTCTCTCTCTCTCTCTCTCTCTCTCTCTCTCTCTCTCTCTCTCTCTCTCCCTCTCTCCCTCTCTCCCTCCCTCCCTTCCCCCCAACCAACCCACCTCACACTGTTGTTGTTGTTGAAAAAAAAGGAAGGAGGAAAGTGTATTGGATATGCTCGCCACCTTCAATTATTTATAAAAATAATAAAGGCAAATATAAATAAAATAAGTAATAAATTGTATGGTCATAGCTGCCATCTTGCCTTTTTTGAACCCTTTGCAGCCTGGATACCCTGCCCTATTAGAAAAAGAAAACAACGTAGGAAAAGTGCTTCCAACATAGATTTGGATATTGGGTGTGTGTGATCATTTCTAGACTCCTACAAATTTCAGTACACCTGCCTTGAAATAATGAAGCATCGAGGTGGGGTTGATCTGCCTCCTTTAGTTGCCCGGTTTCCGTGGAAGTCTGTGGATTAGGGCACAAAAACTGTGCAATGAAATGGGAGATGTGAAGCCTGTCTTGGGCAGAACCCGTATTTGGTAAGCAAAATGAAAGGCCTCAACTTCCTTCCTTCCAGTGAGTTAGAAATGAGACACTGCGGCCCTCCACAGAATACTTAAAAGTGGTGCTTCACTGAAACCTTTCTGAAAGCAAAAGAGTCCTTTGAAGATCTACCCAGCTCTAATAGCTGTCCTCGCACTGTAAAACTCTCCAAACGCGACTTCTGGGACACTCCGGTGAATGCAAAATGAAGGCCAGGATCTCATTTTGAGAACAGAATGCCCGTATTTCAAAGCAGCTTGGGACAATAGGCTTACAATGACAGGAAAGAATTGGAGATCAGTCAAAATGGCGCTGGAACCTGCTTGTTAGACCTCCTAATATAAAATTGAGGGACATGGTGTCTCAGTGGCTAAGATGCTGAGCTTGTCGGTCAGAAAGGTCAGCGGTTTGAATCCCTAGTGCCACGTAACAGAGTGAGCTCCTGTTACTTGTCCCAGCTTCTGCCAACCGAGCAGTTTGAAAGCATGTAAAAATGCAAGTAGAAAAATAGGGACCACCTTTGGGTGGGAAGGGAACACAATTCCATGCACCTTTGTCGTTTAGTCATGCCAGCCACATGACCACGGAGATGTTTTCAGACAGCGCTGGCTCTTCAGCTTTGAAACGGAGAGGAGCATCGCCCTCTAGAGTCAGGAACGACCAGCACATATGTGCAATAGTGTGTGTGTGTGTGTGTGTGTGTGTGTGTGTGTGTGTGTATGTATGTATGTATGTATGTAT